TACACATGTCATATGTTATAAATTCAGGATCTAGGATTTATAAATGTATGCATGCATATATCATCTTTTGTATAAACAAGGAGTATAAATGGAAATATTAAATATGATGTTATTGATCAATTCTACGGTTATTATGATGTGAGTTATAGTTATTATTTCCGGTCGTTACAAAATCCTTCTGTTGCAACTGTGCATTTTGTCAAATCGTGTGAGTTTTTTGGGTTATATGTTGGAGTCGTTTGTAATCATTAAAACCTGCATGGAAGGAGTGCATAATGACTTTAAGACAACATCTTTGATGTGCCTCTCACAATTACACAGGCTATTTCTGAACATTTTTCTTCATCTTCTTCTTATTTATATATATATATATATATAATTTTATCAAACTATATAAAACCTATTTTCAGAATTTGTTTTGTTTAATATCATTAATCAGCAAAATTGTTTTAGAGAATTTATTGTCAAATTCCCTCAACAATCTAAAGTCATTATTCTATAGCATATTCAATCTTTTCCTTATCTGTATTTTATAATTTGGTTTGTTGGTCTTGAACAAATACTGTTAAACTATTTCTAGAATTTTTGTTTTTCCCAGTTAAATCTATTGCCTAAATCTGTAACATGTAAAAATCTATTTTTGAATTTAATTCTCTTGGTCAATTTTGTAAACACCGAATCATATTTTGTATTGTAGAACTCAGTCCATTGTTTGATTACACTGGCCTGTATGTATGTATTGATTCTGTTATTATTCTCGGAAGTTGTTGTGCGCTTGTTTGATCTCAATGTGTTTTTTTTTATTGTTTTTCTTTTTTAAAAAAAAAGGAGAAAAAAAAAAAGTCGTAAAGTTTTCATATGATCAATATTACATTATTATTTAAAAGTGTGTAGTCATATGATGTTTTCTGTATTATACAGCACTTCACACAACTCATGATATTTAATTAGTATTGTTCATGTTATAAATTGTTTTGTGCATGGTAATTAAATTTACACTTTTAATAATATTCACTATGTTTGGTTCCACTTTTTTGAGTAATTTTTTAAAATTTTGATTTGAGAATTATTTTTTGAAAATGGACTATTGTTTGGTTTCCTTTTTCTGAATCTTGCAAATGGAATTCAAAATTCCCTCAAACTAGGATTTTGAACAACGTAATTCTGAAGTTCAACAATAAATAAATAAAAAATGTCAGCACAAGTCACATCAAAAGTTTACGATGTTTCTTTATAGAAAAATGATGCAGACCGCTAATTAGTGGTTGCACTAGGGATGTGGCAATGGATCCCACCCACTGCCACATGTGTTTTGTGTCTTAGTTTTTTTTTTTTTTTTACTTGCCACATCATTAGTGGTGGTGTTGGTGGTAAAAATTTAGTGGTATGTAACATTGTTGTTGTTTATATATCTATCAGCGGGCAATAGGCAATTTGTTGAGGAAAGAAGTAGGGTCATTATTGCCTGCTGTCTATCTAATCAAATTAAGAATATTGCATTTCCCAAGTACATCAAAAAAAATATAATTTTGAGATTTTGTTCTAATTTTTTGGATAACCAAACAAAAATTCTATTTTTTTAAAAAAATTGTATTCAGAATTTAGGAACCAAACACAGTGATTAGTATTTGTTTTATTGTTATTTGACACTGACTAATATACTATTTTGCTCTCTTGTTCTTTAAATATTTAAAATGACTAACGTAACGCCCCGAAACAAAAGAAGATAAACCATCCATCATGCTCATTTAATAATAACACATGTATAAGTAATTATCCTCCATTAGTTTCCAATTAAGTTTACAAAAAAGTAACATATGCAGATATACATTCACAAGCCTATCCATGAATCTATAGCATATGTTAAATAATAGAATGAACATCAAGTAAATAAGAAATGCCCTAAAAACTTACAGTTTTTCAAGACAATGATTGGTTACAACAAAATGAATTTAAATTCAATATAGTTAAAACCCTAGGCTTATACTAATAAATACAACAAAATAAACAAAATGAAGCACTTGCTCCCAAGTCCTTTGTAACAACCCCGATCCCTGATTAACGTTAATCCATGATTAATTATGCCTAATCAGTACTTAAGGAGAAATTATGAATTAAATTGCATATGTGTGTTACAATATTTGTGTCTATATCTGTTTAACGTGGAAAAGACATGTTCATGTTTTCTTTTGGTTGCGAATTAAAGGCCTTATCGGCATCCGATTCAGAAATTGACTTGATTTATATGTTAATTAGGATTTATTGGATTTTATGGTAGGTTTAATTAAAATTCAATTTGGAACGATTAAATTAGATTAATTAATAATACTTAGCTTAATTTAGATCAATTACTTAAATGCCACTAAGTGGGCTTATGCAAGACCACTTCTACACCTTATTACATGTTTTGACACTCTTGTTTTTCCGCATTCTTGAACCAAATGTGAGGGAGAGGAAGAGGAGGGAAATTGAACTCAAACCAAGAGAATTGCTTTAGATCTAGAGGAAAATTGAAGAGGGCTTGGAGGATTAAGCCACCACACTTGAGAATTCAAGACTTAAGGTAGGAATCCACCCTTTTAATTGTGAAATAGGTGAATTCATGAGGGTTTTGGGCTAGAATATAAGGAAGCTAAGTCAATTCATGCATGCATGTCCATATCATGGAGTTTGAGGTTGATTTCATGAGAATTCTCACGTGCATGTTCATTTCTTCGCAAATTGAGCATGATTTCAAAGGATTCTTTCATGCATGTGTTCATCTCACTTAAATTTTGGAAATTCATCATGTTTTCTATCAATTTGCCAAATTTGATCATGTTTGGAAGTGAGTGAGTACAAGAGAATTCATGCATGTTATGTTCTTGAACATTCATAAAGTTTAAGTTGAAATTTTGTACAATTGGCATGCCCTTGGGCCATGATTTCATGAAATGATCTTTAAGTCATGATGTTTTGGGAGTTTCTAAATGTTTTCCATAATTTTGGCCCAAAATATTGAGTTTTGAAGTGTTTGGTTTGGATTTGAAGCTTGGAGATCAAATCTGGAAATTCCAAATTTTGCATTCACGCTCGAGCGTATGAGTTAACGCTCGAGGGAGCACTATGAGTGCGTGCACTTCCCGTCGAGCGACCTGAGGTACGCTTGAGCGTGAAATGCATGTACCCAGAAGTTCATTTGTTTTCCAGCACGCTTGAGCGACAGAAGTCACACTCGAACGAGGGTCTGAGTCTCACGCTCAAGCGGAAATCGACCATCCGTCGAGCGTAAAATTCAAGCAACAAGTACTTTTTCAAAGTTTGCAGTCCGCTCGAGCGAGGGAAGTCACGCTCTAGCGAAGCCTCAATTTTTGTATGTCCACTCGAGCAAGGAGAGCCATGCTCGAGCGTGTACTCTATTTTCAACAAGTTTTGGAAAATGTTTTCAAATGCATTTTTGCGTCCTCATTCCATCCTAGGCATTCCTTGGCCATGATTAAGACACCATAATGGGGTTAAAGGCGAGAAACACACGAGTAAGCTATGTTCAATCCGGGGGTGTGTATTCATCGTATGTATCTATCATGTTATGTAGGTCACACGCCTCAAGATAAGTGATTTGCCTACTCTACTCGTCTATTTGGAGCCACCGATTATCTGTGAGTAATAACTCTGTAAAGTTATGTTTGACTTTAATTATTTTTTGATGATATGAAATGATAAGTTTTCTAAAATGCTACATTTTGTATGAATGAATGATTGTCCAAATTTTCTTTGAAACGTAATTGTGGTATCCTTAGCAGAGGCCCTTGCCCAGGGGACATAATACTATGGCTTATGGTTATGAGGCCCTAGCCCGGGGGATAATACCGTGGCCCAGGCCCTCGCCAGGGGGAAACAATACCATGGCACAGACCCTTGCCCGAGGGAAATAATACCGTGACCGATGTAAGAGATATGTTACCCAGTACCGGAGGTTCCTTTATGGAACTTGATATGCTTGACCATAGAGACATGTTTATGCTAATGGAGGTACCACACATGAGTTGAATAAGGATAAGATTAAGATTTTGTTTCTGGTATCTAATTATGATTTCGAATTGCTATGAGGTTTGAATTATGTTATGGGCATCATTCATTAAAGTCTTTACCTTGTTATTATTCACTAGGCTTCAACTCACTGTTTATATTATGTATGTCGGTGAGCAGGCACGTGACCAGGCCCTCAGTTGATGGCCTATGTTTCAGTTTTTGTCAACCAGCCTTTGCGTCTCCCGAGGAGGTTCTGGATGAAGTCAAGTTTTGTGGCTGTTTTTGTAATCGTATTAGACTATGTTTGTTGTTATGTTGTGGGCGAGATCTTGGCATGAACACCTAAGTGTGATATGTAAATATTATATCTTGTGACATCACTCGTAAGTTTATAAAATTTTTAAGCTATTATGTCCCATGTATGTCGTCACAGCTCATTGGACTTCGTATATTTTTGTATATTTGCTTCTGCAGCCACTAATTATTCGCTAATCTGTCAAGAGGCCTTTGGTAATCCAAGGATTACTGGCCGGTTACGATACTAAACCCATAGGGGCGGGTTTGGGTTACGACAGAGTGTTATCAGAGCACGTGTTCTACCATACACACAAGTCCATATGAGCTTAGGATGTCCTAGTAAGAAGTAGGGGCATTCCATCTGCATGTATAAGTGTGTGAGTTTAAAAGTGAAAGCATCAATCCGGTTATAATCATGCGATATGGGAACAAACAATCTGAATAATGTAAAAAGGACTATTTGCCTATGTTCATAATGTCCTGTTTACCTATAGCAAATGGACCATGCGAGAAGTGATGGAACGGCTGAATCATCTGAGGCTCAAATGAACAAAATGGAACAAAGGCTTACAGCTCTAACTGAGGTAGTAATGCAACAACAGAGGCAACAACCTTTACCTTCAACACCTACGCCAACCCAAGTTGAACTGGACAACAACAATATTATCAATCTGACTTAGAAGTTCATGAAAATGAAACCACCAACCTTTCTTGGTGGAATTAAACCGTTAAAGGCTGAAACATGGTTGTTGGAGATAGAGAAATTGTTTGAAGTATTTCCCAGTTCCGAGGTTCAGAAAGTTTTATTGGCCACCTACACTCTAAAGGACGAAGCTCGGAGATGGTGGTTGCTATTTCGGAATGGCAATGAGAACATGACATGGGCTCAATTTAATATAATTTCCTATGACAAGTACTTTCCCTGGTGCTTCTTAGACCGAATGGCTTTAGAATTTCAAGAACTCAAACAAGGCAAAATGTCTGTAGCTGAATACGAGGCTAAATTTACTGAGTTAGCCAAGTTTGCTCCTCATATGGTGGACATGGACTACAAGAAGGCCCGCAAATTTGAGGTTGGGCTGGATTTAGATATACTGGATCGGGTGGGAGTTCTTAACCTACCCACGTATGTGAATGTATTGGATAGAGCACTAATGGCGGAGGCCATTCTGGCGGCAAAGAAACAAACTACAACTCCACCGACTGAATGGAAAGGCAAGAGGGCCGGGTTTAATTTCAAGAAGGGCCGATTATTTTTGAAGAAGCAAAATACAGGATCCTACAGGGGTTCTGGTCAAAGTAGTGGATCCATACCAAACTGTTTGGATTGTGGCAGGAAACATAGAGGAGTATGCCATCGTGCATCTGGTGCCTGTTACCGATGTGGCAAAATTGACCATATGATAAAAGATTGTCCAATGGGATCCGGGAATGCCAGTCACCCCACAGCAAGTTCAGCTGGGTCTGTTTCAGTGGTCAGATCAAATACCAGAACTAATGTCAGGGGCAACAATGGGACTGAAGTGTTGAGACAAGGGAAAGTATTTGTCTTGGTGCTGGGGATGTACAAAACACTGATTCAGTAGTGTCAGGTATCATTTCTATCTGTGCTTAAAATGCATATATGCTGATTGATTCTGGTTCCACACATTCATTTGTGTCGCATGCTTTTTCTCAGAAATTAACTAGACCGCTAGAACCTATGAACTGTTTGTTATCTGTATCTACACCGTCTGTGGGTTCTATGATATGTGCTTATGTTTATTCGGCATGTGATCTTATGATTGGTGAAATCACATTGTGTGTTGATTTACTACCCCTGAACATCGATTATTTTGATTGTATTCTGGGTATGGATTGGTTGGCCAAGTACTGCGCCACCATTGATTGTGTGAATAAATCTGTTGTACTTCATCCACCGGGTATGCCTGAGTTTACTTTCACTGGGAATGGGGTAGTTCCTCGGCCATACGTGATTTCATTTCTTAAAGCTAAAAAGTTGTTAAGAAAGGGATGTCGAGCTACTTGTGTAGCGTGCTGACTGTGTCTTCGGATAGTACCAATGTAGAAACTATTCCTGTGGTTTGTGATTTTCCTGATGTGTTTCCCAATGATCTACTTGGGGATTTAATCGATAGGGAAATTGAATTTACTATTGATGTAATACCTGGAACGCAACCCATCTCCAAGACTCCACATAGGATGTCGACTTCTGAATTGCAGGAATTAAAAGTCCAACTTCAGGAACTCTTAGACAAGAAATTCATTCGCCCAAGCACCTCACCTTGGGGTGCTCCAGTGTTATTTGTCAAAAACAAAGATGGATCTTTGAGGCTATGTATTGACTATCGGGAATTGAACAAAGTGACCATTAAGAACAAATATCCATTACCCTGAATAGATGATTTGTTTGACCAACTCCAAGGAGTTCAAGTGTTCTCTAAGATCGTCCTTAGATCCGGATATCATCAGTTAAAGGTCAAGGCAGAAGATGTTGAGAAAACTGCATTCAGGACTAGATATGGACACTATGAATTCTTAGTTACGCCATTTGGGGTAACAAATGCACCAGCTGTTTTTAAGGACCTAATGAATAGGGTTTTCAAACAATACATCGATGAATTTATTGTTGTATTTATTGATGACATTTTGATTTATTCTAGAGACAGGGAAGAACATGGGAACCATCTGAAAACTACCTTGCAGATTCTAAAAGAAAGGAAATTGTATGCAAAATTGTCCAAATGTGAGTTCCGGCTTGACAGTGTGACATTTCTGGGGCATGTAATCAACAAGGATGGTATTTCTGTTGACCCTCAGAAAATTGAAGCTATTGTGGACTAGCCTAAACCGACGAATGTGACAGAAGTTAGAAGTTAGAAGTTTTCTGGGACTTGCTGGCTATTACAGAAGATTTGTGAAAGACTTCTCAAAACTTGCAATGCCATTGACACAATTAACACAGAAGAATGTACAGCTTGATTGGGATGACCAGTGTGAATTAGCCTTTCAGGAGTTAAAAACCAGACTAGTGACTGCACCGATTTTGACCTTGCCCAATGGTTCAGATGGGTTTCAGATTTACAGTGATGTATCTTACAAAGGTTTGGGCTGTGTATTAATGCAAAATGGGAAGGTAATTGCTTATGCCTCTCAACAACTCCGTCCACATGAAAAGAATTACCCAACACATGATCTTAAACTGGCAGCTGTAGTGTTTGCCTTAAAGATTTGGTGACATTATCTGTATAGAGCGACTTGCGAGGTGTACACGGATCACAAAAGCCTCAAATATTTCTTTACTCAGAAAGAACTGAATATGAGACAAAGGAGATGGTTGGAACTAATCAAGGACTATGATTTGCAAATTTTGTATGATCCAGGTAAAGCTAATACTGTAGCTGACGCTTTGAACCGAAAGTCGATTGGGAATTTGTCATGTTTGCTGTCCAGTCAAAAAGAATTGCTAGATGACCTGGAAAAGAATAAGATTGAAATTGTTTTGCGAGAGCAAGGTGGGATTTTAGCTTCCATTTCCGTCCAACCTGCAATCATTGAAGAAATCAAACAGAAACAACTTGAAGATGGGTACCTGAAAAAGATTGTGGAAGAATTTGATTAAAAACCAAAACCAGGGTTTGTGTTTGAGAATAATGTGTTGAAATTTTAGAGTAGACTTTGTGTACCAGATTCCTCTGATTTGAGAAAGCGTGTTATGTCCGAAGCTCACAACACCAAATTTGCCATGCATCCGGGGAATACAAAGATGTATCATGATTTGAAATAGAACTTTTGGTGGCCTGGAATGAAAAAGTGCATTGTAGATTTTGTGGCTAGATGTTTGTATTGCCAACAAGTTAAAGCTGAACATCAGCGACCCGCTGGTTTATTACAGCCGCTTCCAATACTGGAATGGAAATAGGAACACATTACTATGGACTTCGTGGTCGGGCTACCATAGTCATTTTTGAAGAACGATGCAATATGGATTATAGTAGACCGATTGACGAAGTCAGCACATTTTCTACCAATCAAAATCATATACTCCCTTAATAAGTTTGCCACTTTATATATCAAGGAAATTATTCATTTGCATGATATCCCAGTTTCGATCGTGTCTGACTGAGACCCCCGCTTCGTGTCTCACTTCTGGAACAAATTGCAAGAAGCTTTGGGAACCACACTGAAATTTAGCACTGCGTATTACCCACAAACTGATGGATAATCTGAAAGAACAATCCAAACGTTGGAAGACATGTTACGTATATGCGTGTTGGACCTCAAAGGTAACTGGGATGAGCACCTACCTTTAGTGGAAAGCCATTGGTTTGGGCCTAGTTCGAGAGCTGCCAACTCAGTTTAAGTCCATCTTTATTGCACTGCGATATTCAAATTTGTTGTTGCATTAATCCACGTTTGCATAGTTTTGATTGGCATGTGTTGCATGCTTGAAATCACTTGCATCTTGGAAATGATTCCCTTGGTTTTCAAGTTGCTAGCATGTTTTGCATGTCTTGCCACACTTGCATGATTAGATCACAATCTCGCCATGCTTCATAACTTGCATAAGTTTGGACATGCTTGTTTGCCTTGTTTGCTTAAGGTATGCGTGCCTAGTGTACATTGAAATGTTTGCATGCTCCCCACATAAACATAGAGCAAACTAGTTTGCATGCTAGGTTGCATTCCATCAAGCTGCATGCCTTGTCCCTTGAATCTAGTGATAGGGATTGGGCCTTGTTTGGTGGTTTTGCATTGCATTTGAAATCAAGCATACTTGTCCTTGTGGGC